CTTCTTCGTATTCTTCTTCTTCTCCTCCTCCTCCTCCTCCTCCTCCTCCTCCTCAGCATCATCATCATCATCATCATCATCATCATCATCACCACCATCATCATTATAATCCTCATCATCATCAGCAGTAGCAGCATCAGCATCATCATCATCATCATCATTAGCAGCATCATCATCATCATCATCATCATCATCATCAGCAGCAGCATCAGCATCATCATCATCATCAGCATCATCATCATCATCAACATCATCATCATCATCATCATCATCATCATCATCATCATCATCATCATCATCATCATCATCCGTATCATCATCATCATCAGCAGCATCATCATCATCATCCTCATCATCATTATCATCATCATCAGCATCATCACGATCATCATTATCATCCTCATCCTCATCCTCCTCCTCCTCCTCCTCATCATCATCATCATCATCATCGTCAGCAGCATCATCAGCATCACCATTGGCAGCAGCATCAGCATCAGCATCAGCATCATCATCAGCATCATCATAAGCAGCAGCATCACAATCATCAGCATCATCATCAGCAGCACAATCATCATCAGCACAATCATCAGCAGCAGCAGCAGCAGCACAATCATCATCAGAAACATCACCATCATCATCATCTGCAGCACCAGCAGCGGCATCATCGTCATCAGCATCATGTTCAGCATCATCTGCAGCAGCATCATCAGCAGCATTACCATCGTCATTAGCATTATCATCATCGGCAGCACCAGTATCATCATCAGCATCAACATCAGCAGCATCATCATCATCATCATCATCAGCATCATTCACATCATCATGATCATCACCATTATCAGCAGCATCAGCATCATCATCATCATAATAAGCATCATCATCATCAGCATCAGCATCATCATCATCATCATCAGCATCATCATTTACGGCAACAGCCTCTTTCCTCCTTCCTCATTCCTCATTTGTCCTTCCTCCTTCCTCATTCATCCTTCCTCCTTCCTCCTCCTCCTCCTCCTCCTTCTTCTCTCTCTCCTCCTCCTCCTCATCCTCATCCTTCATCCCTTCCTCCATCTCCTCCTTCTCCTCCTCCTCCTCCTCTCCTCCCTTCGCTGCGCGCCTGCTGCTCCTCCTCCTCATCCTTCCTCCTCCTCCTTCTCGTTCTTCTCCTCCTCCTCCTCCTCCTCCTCCTGCTCTCCTGCTCCTCCTCCTCCTTCTCTCCTGCTCCTCCTCCTCCTCCTCCTCCTCCTCCTCCTCATCATCACAATCATCATCGTCATCATCAGCATCATCATCATCAACATCATCAGCATAAACATCATCCGTATCACCGTCATCAGCATCATCGTGTTCAGCATCAGCATCATTGCCACCACCAACATCATCATCAGCATCATCATCAGCATCAGCATCATCAGCATCATCAGTATCACCATCACCAGCAGCAGCAGCAACATCATCAGCATCAGCATCAGCATCAGCATCAGCATCAGCATCAGCATCATCCTCATCCTCATCCTCCTCCTCATCCTTCCTCCTTCATCCTTCATCCTCCCTCCTCCTTCTCCTCCTCCTCTCCTCCCCTCGCTGCGCGTCTGCTGCGGCGGAGGGTGTAGAAAGAGGAGGAAGAGGAGGAAGAGGAGGAAGAGGAGGAGAAGGAGGAAGAGGAGGAAGAGGAGGAGGAGGAGGAGGTGAAGGAGGGAGGGAGGGAGGGAGAGTGGGAGGAAGAGAAAAAGGGGGCTACGGAGGGGAGGAGGGTGGGAGGAACGCTGCAGGCCCAGATCTTGAAGCCCGCTCAACCCCCGAGGGGGAAGGCGGCAATTTCGGAGCTGTGCGATGCCAGTCGTTTGCATTGAGCGCCAGCTGCTCCCGACGCCACCTCTGGTCCAGATGTTGATGTTGCACGCCTTTGATGGGATCAGCCCTCCTGCCACCGAGGTCAAGGCCGACTCCTGCTGGGCGGCCGTGGAGGTAGGCCGCAATGCTACGTTGGCCAAGCTGGACTCGGACTCTGCAGATAGATGTGCCAAGCTGGAGACGGCACGCCGCCCTGGCACGGGGCCTGCCAAGGGACAGGCCGCAGCTTTCAGCTTTCAAGCCTTCCCAGAAAGCACCGAGGGAGGCCTCCAGCCTCCTGGGGAGCCCCGCCGCTCTCTGGGAGGGCCTGCCCCCTCTCGCTTCACCCCCTCGGCGCGCCGCCGACGGAGGCTCTTTGCCGAGGACCTGCTCGCCCAGATCACGTCAGCGAAGGCTGCGACGGGGCCAGGGAGGAGGAGGAGGAGGAGGAGGAGGAGGAGGAGGAGGAGGAGGAGGAGGAGGAGGAGGAGGAGCGCGGCCAATGCATGGCCAGCCGGCCACCTGGCTGAGGCTCGCGGAGGCGGAGAACGGCCTCCAGGTCGTGATCGACGGGTGACGCCAGCGGCGGTCACCGCTCTCTTCGCGTCGTCCTGGGCCCCCTGTGGGGACGACCCCAGCCACGGGCCGAAAAGGAGGGACGAACCCCCCAACGCTCTCCCAGGAGACCCCCCTTCCGCCACAGGACAGCACTCCTCGCACCACTCCCGCTCCCAACCCTGCCGCTCAGCGGCGGACGCGGCGCACGCGCGCGCATGCTGGCACGCGCCACGCTTGCCCAAAGCAGATGAAAAGACAGATAGAGGGAGGGAGCTCCCTACGGGGGAGCTCCCCACGGGGGCAGGAAACGTGTGAAGGGCGTGCCGAAAGGAGTGCAGCAAAAGCAACAGGAATGGCCCCGATGGGAAGAGAGAAGGGGACGAAGAGGGTGAAGGAGGCGGAGCGCGGCGCTGCGGATTCAAAACGAGGACCCAACACACAGGATGAGGGCTTGGGAGAAAAAAGGGAGGAAAGGAAGAGGAGGGGGCGGGCCCCCTCAGAGAACCGGGCTCCGAACCGCCAGGGCGCACCGCCGATGCATGGGCGATGCGGCGTGGTCCTCCGACCCCACCTGCTGGGACACCCCTGGCACGGCCTGGAGCGGCGGGGGGGGGGGGGCGGGGAAAGGAACGAGGAAGGGGGCCGGCGAGGGAGGGAGCGGGCGAGGGAGAAGCAAACTCGAGTTGGATCGAATCGCAAAGAGATAGTTCACATTATCTTTCTGCGAGCACCCGAAAACCCGGGTTATCCGGTGGGTGGGGAGGGAGGTGCCAGCCGATAACCTAACCTTTTTGCTTGGGGAAGCTCCTTGTATGTCCGCGCGCAACAGTACTGCGCACCCCCGTCGTACCTGCGCACCCAACAAGGTCAGGATATCTGGGGGGAAAGGGCGGGCGGGCCCGATAACCCAGGTTATCGCCAGACCTTTAAAGGAACAGTCTCCAATCGGATCGGTTTGCAACAAGATCGGATCGCCAGCGAGTCGTCCCGAACCTGATCGAAGTCGGATCGCCGCACATGGCTCTCCAGCTGGCCAAGGCCGATGCTGGTCAATCAGGCCGAACCGGATCGAATCGGAATATCGCGGCCCTGGCCGGCGAATCGAATAGTATCGAATATGGGATCGCAGGCGGTCTTGAGCAGGCGGGGGCGAGGGCGGCGGTGCGGGCGAGCGACTGGGAGACGGGCACGCGGCGCTGCTCCCTACCCCCCCTCCCAAAAGGGGCCCAGGGACACACAAATAATTCAAGCAGATACTGATTCCAGGATCCCCCATATGTCCCCACGTTCTCGGCATTCGTCTTCCCCTCCATATCCCATAGCTTCCCTCATTGAAATCGGCGACTACGCGTGTCTGTGTTTACTTGCCCCTCCCCCCCCTGGCTGGCGCAGAGCCACGGGGGCGCTCTGGCGGGAGGCCCCACCTCCCACCAAATGCTCGCCTGCCACGCCCTTGCGCTCTGCCTTGCCCCTCCCACCCCCCCCCCATTTCCTCCTCCCTCCTCCCTCCTCCTCCTCCTCCTCCTCCTCCTCCTCCTCCTCCTCCTCCTCCTCCTCCTCCTCCTCCTCCTCCTCCTCCTCCTCCTCCTCTCAAAACTCTTCCGAGACGGCCAGGACTCACGCATATCCACCGCCTGGGGAGTCGATCCCCCAGGACCCCAGGGGGCAGTAGAGGTATCTTTGGGCCCCACTCCGGAGCCCGAGAGCTATCACGAATGATACATGCCTGCTGCCGCCTGGGGTCCTGGTGGGCATGGGTTCCCCGGGCGGTGGATACGTCTAATGTCCAGGGCGGGATCCCAGCCCCCGATATCCTTCCACCCACCCCCTCCTCCCACCACCCCTGCGCCTCCCTCTTCTGCATTATTCCCCCGTCCCGTGCCGACGTCATGGGAGCAAGGTCGGCCTGTGTTGGCTCCCTAACCCCCAACCCCTGGATGATCGCACCTCCGCTCCCCCAAAACAACCGTTCGGGGACGCACTGACCTGGGTCAATGCAAGCTCGGGTCAGTCAAGCAAGATCCTGCAAGATCATGAATGATCCTGCGCGCAAGCCCGGGTCAATGCACCCCTGGCTCTGCAAGATCCTGTCGGATCCGGCGATCTGGCTGACCCCCGTTTGCATTGACCCCCGTCTCAAGGCTCCCGATAAATCGAAAACCTGTGAGATCTGGCGGTTCTGGAGGATATGTAGAGCGCCGCTGCCGTTCCAGAGCGCTCCAGAACGCTCTGGAAAGATTTGTCCCGGTCCTAGCCCCGCCCGACATACCCAGATCTCCGACGTCATGATTTTGTCATAGCGTCGAACCCCAGAGATCTCGACGCCATCCTCAGGACCAGGTTTTCGTCACAGACCGTTTTTTGACGGGCTCTGAGAATTGTTTCATGACTCGAGTGGGACTGGCTACGTCAGCAGAGGCCAAGTCCAGACGGAGTAAGCCCAGACGGAGACCGAGCACTCCGTGTGGACCTACTCCGAATGGACTTCGCCTCTCCCGAGTACGCCGATCCTGGCCCCATGATCGGCCTGGCCAGCGTCGGTGAGGGCCGACGTCTCCCGAGGCGGCTGCCACCGCCGCAGCGGCACGGAGACCAGCGGGCCGATTTTTTCCAGGCCGCTCCGCGGGGTCCAAGCGACTGCACGAGGAGCCGCGGGTCTGAGGCGAGCGAGCGTCAGCCCGGCTTGGATGTGAACTTCACGTCCAGGGAGATCGACTTCTTCTCGGGCGGGCGCTGGAAGTACACGAGCCGCCCGATGTTGCTGGGATCCGCCTTGATTGCTGCCGATGCAGCTGGCACGGGAGAGGGGTGGGGCAACATACCCCCAGGTGTGGAGGGGAAGGGCCCAGAATCAGGCGATCTACTAAAGAAGCGCACTGCTGCCCCACCTCACCTTCCAGGAGCGCGCCCCGCGCAAGGGCAGGCCCTGACAAGCCATCGCGCGCAAGCGAACAATGAGCCCAACACATCCTGGCCCCCTGGTATCTATCTGCCAGAACTTGCTCACAGCCCTCGCACCTCTCACAAGCAACCGCCTTCAGCAAGCCCAGGAGCTCCCCTCCGGAAGGAGGGAGGACAGAGGGGCCTTCCTGGCCACGGCGAGCCTCGGTCACGAATACGCTCCCCGACCCAAATCTACGGAACGGCCGGAAAACCTGAGCCCCTCCTGAGCCCAAGCGAGAGCGGCGAACATATCCGTATCCGCGCCCTCGCAGTCTGGTTTCTGGGGCGCGATCCCGCGGATGCGCGGCTGCACGAGTGCGTTCCGCGCGGTGCATCCGCGAAAAACTGCACCATATCCGCGGGGTCGCGGCCCAGGGGCCCTGCCCCGCGAGGCCGTGGATACTGGTATAATTCTGGCCCACAACCCAGGGTGGTCCGTATTTTAACGTCTTGCCTGTACACCGCTCACTGTGAGCGGACGCCGTGCTGTCGGCCTGGACGCCTCGCGCGCACGGCGGCAAAGTCGTCTCCTCGAGGCGGTGCCGATGAAGATGTCGGACTGGCGCAGGGCTTCGACGTCTCCCAGCAGCTGGAGGAGAGCCTCTGCAGAGCAGCTGCATCGCAGGGAACGGGGGGAGAGGCGGAGATGAGGGATTGAATGGGTGGAGAAACAAAGTCAGGGAGAAACTCCTGGAAGGTCTTCGGAAGAACAGCCACGGGCTACTAAGCCCGATCATGGGGCAACTCAGCCAGATTGGCCAAGATTGAGCATGAGACCACGCCGGGGTAGGACGGATTAAGCGGAATTGCGCGGACCTGCGTGGACTTGAACGGAATTATGCCAGATTCGGTCGGTTTCTGGCCATGGATATGCCAACATCGATGCTGTTGTTTTACCTCTAGGAAGTTGCAACCGAGGAAGCAAGCGGGATAATCGAATGTGACAGGAGTGGAGGATAGCATCCAAAGGTTGGGAGTGAGGAGGGGTTCCAGCTGTCCTCATCCAGCGCGTCTTATCCACTGGCTCTTATGACGCATGCTTGTCATGCGTATCCTCTCTCTATATATGTATGTTGTGTTATTTGTTTCACTGTCTCTCTCTCTCTCTCTCGCTCTATCTGTCTCTCTCTAGATATATCATATCCCCGTCCCATCAAAGGAATCTGATGACCGATGATACGATCCGAGGCGAGCTGGTCAGTGAAACTGGTTGAACGGGAAAGACTGCCAGCAAGCTGCCCGAAAGCGCGAGTAAAGCTGTTACACGGAACGTGCGATTGTAGACAAATACAGTGAGACATCGTGTTATAAGAAACCTAGTTGACCACATGATTCGTCGATAGTTGCAGGTGCTGAGGTGCCCGCTAGCTTATATGGGTCCCTGGGGCCATGGGGCGATAAGGAGTTTCCGTGGGGCACCTGCTAGCAGGCTGGTCTCTTATTCGAGGTGGCTACTATTTTTTAGTTTACTACGGCCGAAAGCAAAAACGAATTACGACCGTGCGCGTACGCATGGATGTCCGACCCCCCCTCCCCTCACACGAAAAAGTCCCTTGTATATGCCGCCAGTGGAACTCTCTTGTGGTCTGCCCCCAGCAGATCTCTGCAAAGGCCGGGGGGGCTGATCCTGGCCAAGGGCCCAACCATATGCAGTTCTGAACACCGCGTTGTGGGTACGTTCATCTTTCGGTGAAGCTCCCTATGGGACCACGAAGCTCGTGAGGGGTTTCCTACAATGGTTGGGGGCGACGCATGCGGCCGCGGGCACTGGGGTCCTCAGTGGAGCTCCCTATGCGGCCACGAAGGCTACATTGGGCGGGGGAGACACATGCGGCCGCGGCCATTGGGGCCTTCAGTGGAGTTCCCAGTCGGGCCACGAAACGTTACTGGGTGGCAAAGACGCATGCGGCCGCGGCCACTGGGGTCTTCAGTGGAGCTCCCTATGGGCCACGGAACGCTGTACTGGGTGATGGAGACGGGTGCGGCCGCACTGAGGCCTTCGGTGGAGCCATGGGGCCACGATCTAGGCAAGGGAGACACATGCGAACGTCGCCTCTGGACCATTCGGTGGAGCTCTCTATGGGGCCACGAAGCGCTGCACTGGGTGGGGGAACCGCATGCGGCCGCGGTCATTGGGGCCTTTGGTGGAAGTCCCTATGGGAGCGCGGCACTGAGTCTGGGATACGAATGCAGTCGCGGCAACTAGGGGCTTCGTTGATGGGGCTCCTTATATATGGGCCACGAAGCGCTGTACGCGGTGGCACAGACGCATGCGAACGCGGCCACCGGGGCCTTTGGTGGAGCTCCCTATGGGGCCATGAAGCGCTGTACTGAGCGGCGCGGACACATGCGGCCGCAGCCACTGAAGCATCCCCTGGAGCTCCCAGTCGGGCCACAAAGCACGTGAGGGGTGTCCTGTAATGGGTGGGGGAGATGCATGTGGCCGCGGCCGCTGGAGCCTTCGGCGGAGTGCTCCCCCCCCATGGGGCCACGAAGCGCTGTATTGGGCAACGCGGGCGCATGCGGCCGCGGCCACTACGGCCTTCGGTGGAGCTCCAGATTGGCCACGAAGCGCTGCACTGAGTGGCGCAGGCGCATGCGAACGCGGCCTCTGGGGCCTTCGGTGGAGCTCCCTTCGGGGTTACGAACCGCCTGAGGGGTGTACTGAACTGGTTGACATACGGAGGGCAGCGGCAGGGATGCGAGGAGCGAGGAGGAGAATGGAGGAGAAATGAGGAATGAGGAACGCAGGGCGCTGCCTTCAAAATGAGGGCCCAACACCACAGGATGTCTGGAACAACTAAGCACACTCTTGCCCGCCGCAACGACGAACCACTGGCCGGTCATTGACTAGCGGGACGCGCTATTCAAATCACATTCGAAATTCACTCGACCACGCTGCGCGCTCGAGCCACTTCCGTGAAACCCCAGGTCATGGGCAGGAAACGGCAAGCGTGCACGAAAAGGAGACAATAGACATGCAAGTATAAACAAACACGCGCGACACAAGGCAAACAAACCTCGCTTGCTCCAGCCACACACCGCCCCACCGCCGTCCTTGGTCCTGAGTCCCCTCACCCGCGCCTCTTGGAAAGCAATGCGGTAAATCCTCTGAGGGGGGGAGGGCGGTGAAGGGCACAGAGAATTCAAACTGCGTTGCTCGCTGTGGTGCAGGCCGCACATTCCCACTGATAACCAGACTAAGCGCCATTGTCGAATCGCTTACCGTCCCTATGGCCGGTCGCCGCGCATGCACGTCCCATCACCCCCATTGGGCCAAGCGCCCAGCCTGGGGATCAACCATGTTCCTCCCAGAAGCCTCACCTCTGCTTCGTCTGCCCAGAACCGCCAAGCCTCTCTGCCGTCGTAGGTGGACTCGTGAGAGTAAGTGTCCTCATCCTGCGGAGGTGTTTATGCTGAAACACACACCGGCACCAGGGCAAGGCGGTGGCACCCAAGGCAATGCAAAGACAACGAACGACATGCGGCCTCAACGGGTTACCCTGGAGGAGCCAGCACGACTCGAATTGATACAGCCACGTCGGCAGCAAGCACTGCGCGCATCCCAGCTAACATTATGCTGTCAGCAGCCAGCTCCGAACACAGTGCGTATCCCAATGGTGGGGCGAAAATTGTGGCTCCGAAGCGGTGTCGCTGCGGCTCAGCATGAAAACAACCATCCACATGGCTACAGCCTGGAAGGCCCGGCCGTCAGCGTTCGGCCATCGAGCCTCCAAGGGCCCACGATGACGATGAGACCCTATTTTCTCGACGGCCTCCGTCGCAGTGCACCTCCAAATTCGCCTCCGGAGTCTGGGGCCCAGGATATATATATATATATATATATATATATATATATATATATATATATATATGGAAAAATCGCAATCCGTGCGTTGTCAGCATCGCGATGTGGTTCGCAAAGAAGTCGGATCTGGTATCGAAAGCCTGCAGCTT